TATAATGGACTGGAGTTGAAGTTGTTTAATAAAGAATATGTGTCATAATTAGAAGGAAGGATGAGAAATGTGACAGTGGCAGGCATCTCTTTCTCCCTTTCAATTCCTCCAAGCCTTCCAACCTGCCGCTGTCACTTCAATCTCCGTTTTTCGTTACACTAAATTTCCTTCTCAAAAAATTCGCAATTGAATAAAAAAAAAATAAACTCAGAATAACAAAAAATTGTTATAAGTAATAAAAATAAATAATTGCACTACCGATATTATTATTATTATTATTATTATTATTACAAAATAATAATGATAATGATAATAATTTTATAAACTTTCAAAAAATTTTCCTGGAATGTGTACTTGAAGTTGACTTTTCGATGAAAAAGAAACTTAATCATTAAGAAAAAAAAAATATATATAAATATATATTTATATTTATATATATATATATAATACTAACAATAATAAAATAGTAATAATAATAAATGAATAAATAACAAAATGAAGGAGTAATAGAATGAAATAACAAAAATTCCTACTCAAGTGCGTTGTCATGGCTTTTAAGCTCATTATAAAACTAGAAGGAAAGAATGTGATGACGATGATGATGACGATGGCTGGTTGTGATGGTATCGATGATGATGATGATGATAGTGATGATGGATGATGACTACGATTATGATGACTATGATGACGATGATGATGACGATGATGACGATGATGATGATGTTTACATTACTGATGATGATGATGACGATGAAGACGATGATGATGATGTTTACATTACTGATGATGATGATGACGATGAAGACGATGATGGCCACTCAGTTGATATTGATTAAAGGAGATGATATAACACTCCTCGGACTGCAGTTGACACGGATTTATGAAAAAACAAAAAACAATAAAAAAAACAAAAAAAAACTATATATGATGAAAAAGCAAAAATAAAAAAATGTAAAAAAATAAATGATATTCCGGGAAAATAGTTTTGTCGCAGGAAAATTTTTTGGTTTATGTTCAAAAATTTGTTTTGTTTTGGCTTCTGTTTCTCTGCGTTTGTGTTTTTTGTGCCTGTGTTGACAGAACTGATGTGTACCTCCAACGAAACGTGAAATAAAATCAAAACAAGAATAACAAAACTGCGAAAAAGTAATAAAAACAGATTCAAAATCGTAGTAACGGCAACCAACAGAAGAGAAAATACCGTCCAAGCAAGCAAACTGAAGCAGAAATCACCTTTAAAAATATCAGATGACGTTGAAAAGAAATGCTCGCCGAGGAATTTGTTGACGCCTGTTCACGTTTTTGTTTGTTTGTTTGTATATTTGTTTGTTTGTATGTTTGTTTGTCTGTTTGTTTGTTTGCATGTTTTTTTGTGCTATGCTATCAACTGTTTGTTTGTATTTTTATTTTGCCTGTTTGTATTATTGATTTGTATGTTTGTGTTATTGTTGCTTGCACGTTTGCATCTTAATTTGAAATGTTTGCGTCATTAATTAGAACATTCGTGTTTTGTTTGTTGATAGTTTTGTAAAAATTAATAATTAATCATTGATTGTTATTAAATTTTTAAAGTTTTTTTACAGCATGAGAATAATTTTGCACTCATCTGCAAATTTTCAACAAAAACAATTACAAAAAATCAATTGTGACTTTAGAACAAGAGCCATACAAAAAGTCACGCAAACCAACAAAAACATACAACAGACATACCACAGAAAAAAACTGACACAGGAACAAACAAACGTTCAAACAAACATTCAAACATACAAATATACAAACATACCAACAAACAAACATACAACAATCTAACCAAACAAACATACATACAAATAAACAAACATACCAACAAACAAACATACAACAATCTAACCAAACAAGCATACATACAAATACACAAACATACCAACAAACAAACATACAGCCACCTAATCAAACAAACAAACAAACGTACCACCATTTAACCATGCAAACAAACAAGCAAACAAACATAAAGCAAAACATTACACAGTGTCTTGGTGTCATGGGACCAATGCGTTCCGTTACACGTTATTCTTATTTGTTCCTTGGGACTCGCGGAACATCCCACTACGGCCTGATAATCATCCCTCTTCATCCATCCATCACTCGGAAGTTCGGGATCTTTGCAGCCAACAACTGGAGTGGGAAGTGTATGGAAGGAATGAGATGTTAGGTTGTTGGGGTGTTGGGATGAGGATGTGTTGATTGAGATTCAATAAAAATTGCGGATTTTGATTAGAGAGTTTAATGCATTAAAGTCTCTAATGCTTTTTCTCGTTGATTTCGAAATATATTTAACCTTTAATAGTCGTTATTTAAATATATCAAACAAATCAACGTGAAATCTAAAATAAATAATCACAACAATGTCAGGCTGAAGAAAAGGTGATGCAACATGCTGCCTACCTTCATACTTCACGATGAACTTGTGGCTGTCCAAGCTGCTACTGCTGATGCCACCTCAAATAATTATTAAATACTCGTTACATAAGTTCAAAACGACATTTCATCATTACACTATTAATAATATTAGTATTATAATTTAACATTATGAAGGCGTACAAACAAAAAGTTGTTGAATTAGTACTACAGTAAAAATTGCGTATCAACTAAATTGTCACATTCAACACTATTTTTATTCAACACTTATTTTGGTATTTTAGGCCTTAGACAATTATTTCAATATATTCAGTGGTGTCATTCAATCATCATTACATCAACCAGTCAGCATACCAGACAACCATTCAACCGACCAACCGACCAGCCAAACATCCAACCGACCAGCCAGCTAACCAGCCAGCCAACCTTTCTCACCTCGATCAAGCAAATCAATCTTCCTGGTCATCAACCTGACTTCAAGAAGCTGAGCAGACGAGATGAGCATGTTATTCTCCCGCTGTCTCACTCTGCAGCCATGTCTGAACTGCCCGTCTGGCTCTTTTTCTTTTATCGTCACGTACACAGTGCACTGAGCTTCAGATGATGACGACGACGACGATGATGATGGTGGTAGCGGTGGAAGTGGAGCAAAGTCGATGATGGTGATGTTTAACTTTTGACCTTTGTTTATTCTGAGTCGCCAGGGTCTGTCTGCTAACCCACAATTTGTTTTTATTTGGTTGGATAGGTAGCCGGAAATGAGTGAATGGTGATGAGGAAGAGGAAGATGTGATGGAGACAATGAGTCGTGGTGAAGATCATGATGCTGGTGATGATGGTGATCGAGGTGATTTTGATGATGATGACGTTTGTGAGGAGTGATGTTTAAAATGGGCGTTAGTGGTGATAAAGTAGAAGGTGATGACGATGATGATGACGATGGTGCTGATAATGACTTTGGAGTTTTCGTCAAGTCAACCAGGCATTCTTTATGATCGGGTAGCACTAATGGTGATGACGGTGATGATGACGGTGATGATGATGGTGATGATGATGATGGTGATGATGATAGTAATGGTTTAAGACGATCAGCATAATGATGTCAATGAAAACAAGTTAATAATGATGACACGATGAATATAGCATGGTTAATGTTGATGTTGTTGTAAAGATTATTGTTAATATTGCCTTTAATCTCAACATATTTGATTGATAAAATAGATACTTTGTTAGAACGTATTGCTTTTTAGATAGTTTCAACTCAGCAACAGTCAGGTCGGCCTTTAAACTAAACTTCCAAATTCACCATCTTATCGACAAAAGTGTTTCAACGGCTCACATCCTCATCAAAGAACATCATCACTCGTCATCGTCTCCTTCAGTTTTACTCATTGACATAAACCACCACAGACAACCACCACCACCACCACAACGAACCATCGACACAGACGTAGGCAGCTTCCAGGTAACTCCTCAGATCAACAGGGCATGGCACAGAAGTGGCATTTTCGATGAAGCCACTGACGGCCACACGGCAGCTCGATCGACCGCCACACAATCGCTCCAATTGCGTTTTTACGTCTTTTGCGCATCCTGTCTGGTAGTTTTTCAGACACTTTCCAATGCTCATTCTGCCGTAGAGGGCGTGGGTGATGATGATCGCTGATTGGTTGCCACAGTTCGCTACGAAGAACTCGTTCTCGCAGTATTCTTTGATGGCCGTCGAAGACGATGCTGAGGCTACTGCTGTAGATTCTGTCGATGATGCTCCTGATGATAATGATGATGGTGGTGGTGGTGGTGATGGTGATGATGATGGTGAATGGAGTTGAAAAAGATTTGAGTGCAGAATTAAAAGTTTGTTGCTGTTGTTTGTTTTCAATGTTTGTTTTGATGCTTCTGCAGTTGCTGATTTGTTGTTATTGTTGTTCTATTTTTATCTTTTTTTTAGCAATAATAATCATTTAGTCGACGAATCATTTTTATAATGCATTATTGTAAATGCACGTCCGCATTAACGAACTGAGACGTTTTATATTTATGCCCTAAAACTAAAATTTCATATCTGTATTAAATCTAACCTGACATACTTTCAGTCCCGACTAGTTCTAAACTCTGCGCAGACAGGAAGATAAAAAAGAGCGCCAAAATTAATGGTGACGTCATAACGTATCGTCCAATGGCGTGAGAGGCTTCAGTCACAGGGTGCCAATGATGGCCGTTGGGTCAAGGGTGTTGTTGCTAGTTTGTTGTTGTGGTTGTTGTTACTGTTGTTAATGTTGTTGTTGATGTTGCTGTTGTTATTGTTATTATTATTGTTGTTGTTGTTACTGCTGTTTTTGTTGTTGTTGTTTTATTTGGTGATGATGACTGGTTTTTTAGTAGCGTGTAGAGGTGAATTCCATGTCGCTGTATGTATTTTTGTTGATTAGGTTGTAGATAATTCTTTTGAGGTTGTTGTTGATGTTGTCAATGTTTTATTGTTAATTTTGTTGATGTTGTTGATGTTGACGTTGTTGATGTTGATGTTGTTGTTGAAAGTAATAGTAATAGTCGCGCAGTTTTCTGTTGATGCCGCTTGTCGGTCGTAAACAAAGCATTAAAGGAGGGTGGTTTGTTCTCTGTGTGTCTGTGTGTGTATGTCTGTGTGTGTATGTCTGTGTGTGTTTGCGTGTGTGTCTGCGTGTTTGTTTGTATGTGTGTGTATGCGTGTGTGTGTGTGTTTCGTGTGTATGTGTTTCGTGTGTATGTGTTTCGTGTGTATATGTTTCGTGTGTGTGTAGGCGGAATTTCTGCGTGTGTGCTTGTTTGTTTGTGTACGTGCGTGTGTGTGTGTGTGTGTGCGTCGTTGTTGTTAATGTGTGTGTGTGTGTTGTTTTTGTTTATGCTTCTGTTGATGTTTTGTTTATATCGTTGTCTATTTTTTTAGCGCCGACTTGAATGTTTAAATTACTGTTGTTGTTGTTGTTGTTGTTCATGTTGTTGTTAGCTATTTATTGTTTTTGATGGCTATTTAGTTGTTGTAACTTTTTTGAGGTTCTTTCTTTTCATACAGAAGTTTGATTTTTCTCAGTGGCGTTATTTTGCCAGCGATTTGATACAGTTTTATTTTTATTTTTGGTGACGCTTGTTTGTAGACGGTGCTGTAAATAAGTTTGAGTTGTTGTTAATATTATTGTTGTTGTTGTTTTGTTGTTGTTGCTGCTGCTGCTGCTGCAACAACATATTTTTTTAGCAAATAACTAAACTGGATAAGAAAAGAAGATAATTTTTATATAATGTATTTAATTAACCAACTAATTAAATCATTTCACTAGAATAATAAATTATTAATATTATTATATTATTATTATTGTTGTTGTTATTATGACTAATAAAACGTAAACAAGTTGATTACAAATATGCCATGATACAAAAAAAAATACAAACATTAATGACGTCATTAATACGTAACTAAAATAAATATATGGCAAATCGTAAAAAGATCATGGAAAGACACTAAAAAATCAGGTTTCATACCGGCCAGGCAATATTTATTACATAAAAATTCCAAATAAATGCAAGAGTACCTTTATACAAAAAATGTACTACTAAAAAAATGCCACTAACACATAAAATACATTAAAAACATTAATAACAACAACGTAAACAATGATATCTCCTTTTCTATGTATGTGTGTATGTATGTATGTGTGTATGTATGTATGTGTGTATGTATGCATGTACGTATGTATATGTGTATGTAAGTAAGTGTATGTATGTATGTATATTGCATATACCATATAAAACACACAAACAAACATACAATATATACAAAGTATACAAAGAACCGGAACTAATCAAATGAAGACAAACAAATCGTTGTATGAATGCAATTATGTATGTTGCTGTTTCTATTGCAGTTTGTGTTTTGTTGCTGTTGTTGTTTTTATTATTATTATTATAACTATAATTATAACTACAATTATGATGATAATAATATTTTTTGTTGCTATTTAGGAAGATATATTATCTATAATTTTCATTTACTATAGCAAATTCTGTCAGAAGAAATACCGATACAACTACTTTCAAAAAATTACTTTAAGTTGTATTAACAATGAAAATACAAATAATTACTACTATTAAAGAATACTAACTTCAATAAATTACACTAAACGTATCAATAAAATCGATTGGCAAAAATTCTGATCACATTATTAATAATAATAAAAACCAATAATAATTATATAATTAAAAATGGAAATAATAATAAAAATATAATCTACAATGACGAAAGTACAATGAATTAGAACAAAAGGAGATTGCTAATTGTGACTATGTGTGTGTGTGTGTGACTAACTGTGTGTGTGTATGTGCGTGCGTGTGTGTGCATATATATGTATATATGTATATGTGTATGTACGTGTGTGTTTGTTTTGTATATATTTTTCTATGTATATATGTTGTGTATGTTTGTATATCAGTAAAGATTTAATGTTTCATACATGTATGCATGCACATGTACACACAGACACACACGCACACAAACAAACAAATGCACGCAAATAAAAAAACACACGCAAATATATAAATGTATAATTATAAGTATAATATATGATATATACAGAGGCGCGTATGATGTATATACCATAAACACACAGAAAAGAACAAAATACAAACAAATATTAGTGTGATGGTATTGATTTTCATGGAAAACTGGTGAATATACAACGTAAACATACATATATAAGAGTTGGCGTGTTAGCTGGTAATACAACTATCAAACATTCATAACTATCATCAATTGATTTCTCTGGCGATGATGAAGATTACGACGACGATGATGACGACGACGACGAAGATGACGATGGTGATGATGATAAGGACGACGATGGTGGTGATGATGATGATGAAGACGATGGTGATGATGATGATAAGAGTGACGTGATTATGATTATGTTGACGATGATGATAATGATAATACTGGTGTTGGCGCTGTCGATGATGATGACTATCACGATCCTGAAGGATGGTATTCTTTCGGAAGATGATAAAGATGATAATTACGATGACGATGATGATGATAAGGATGGTAGGAATAATCATGGTGGAAAGATGGATTATACATTTGATAACTGTTTGAAAATCTCAACGATTTAAAAAGTTACCAGCCAGACGGTGATGACGACGATGATGATGTTAATTATGATACTTCTGCGGATTAAATTGGTACACACATACGTAACTCACACACACCACACATACACACACCACACATACACACACCTATACACACACCACACATACACCATACACTATACATGCACACACACGCACAAACACATACATAATCGCACGTGCATATGCTCACATGTAGATTCCAATGAGTACTAAATCATTAAAAAAAACTTATTAGAAAATAAATTTTTCGTAAAGATAATCATAAACGCAGATACAAACTTACATATATACACGCATTCATACGTATGCATACATACTAAAATAAACACATACAGACAAACAAACACTTAAACACACAAACAAACATACCTACATACAAACAAGCAAACAAACATGCTAAAAACACCCCACTCCCCCCAAAACAAACAAATTCAACCGCGATCCAAATAAATACAAGTGGCAAAGTACGTGATTGCTTCCTGATATATGATTGGTTGGTTCAAAGGTGAGATAATGATAAATTGGAGAGGGTTACTTTTATTTTTGTTAATGCACATTGATACACACGCATATGCATGGGTATGAATACCCGAAGGTATATCTATTCGTATAATGTGGTGTATGAGTATTTTTAACAGTTTGACATTTATTTGGTTGGGTATTTGTGTTGTGAAGACAAGAAATTCTCGTGGAACCTGTCGTTTAGTTGATTAATTGAAACAAACTGAAGAAAATTCACATCCCCACTATCATGGCCTAGTATATATTTACGTCTATTCATTCAGAATAAACACATACAAGCTTCCAATGCATACAATTAACTATTTATTTATCAATTAAAATACATCCAACTCATTAATATTCATGAACATACAACCAGCTAATTAATTATTCACGAATATACAAACTACTTAAATTTATTCATTGGCAAACAGACTAACAACTGATTAATTATTCACTACTGTACTGTACAAACAAACAACACATTAATTATTCATGAATATTAATTAGCATCACGTGATGCACAGACAGTTCGTGACGTTATAGACAAATGAGTTTGACGCTTTGTCTGACGGGTGGATGGATGGACAGATGGACAAATTGGCAAGTGGATGAATAAACGAACGAATGAATGAATGAACCAACCAACCAACGAACATATGAATGAATGAATGAATTAGTAAAAAAATGATTAGACAAATACACAAATAAATATCTGATAAATTAATGAATGATGAAAAAGAGAGAGACAGACGAGAAATTGATTTTTTTTAAATGAATGAACAAAAGATAAAAACAGCACACAATACCAAACGTTTATAATCGTTCTCATGGATCAGCAACACGTCTATCCATACATCCATCCATTCATCCACTCATTCGTTCATTCATTCATTCATTCATTCATTCGTTCGTTCATTCGTTTGTTCCTTTACTCATACATATACATTCATTCGATCTTTTATTCATTCGTTTATATTCTCCACATTCATCCAATATTTTGTTTAGCCTTTTATTCTTTCATTCGTTTATTTAATATTTATCTATCCATCCATTCGCTCTATTGTTAATTCACTCACTCACTCAATTTTCAATTTACTAGGCGTGTTGTGACGTCATGGAGCAAAGAAAATACAATTCATAAAGTCGCAGAAGTTATTGTCGCTGGCTTGTCTATGCTATGTATGTCTATGCAGCTATGCAATAAATTCTCGTTCATGGCGTCGGATGCTGTTGATGTTGTTGTGGCTGGTGCGGCTGCTGTCGTTGTGGCAGGTGTGGCTTATGTGGTTGTTGTGGCTGGTGTGGCTGTGTTTGATGTTGTTGTGGCTGGTGTTGTTTTTAATGTTGTTGTCGTTGATGTTATTGTACGCTTTTTTGTTTTATGCATATTATATTATAGGTTAATGATTTTTTATGTTTTTGTTCGCACTGTTAGTGTTGTTGATGTTGTTGATGTTGTTGGTGTAGTTGGTAATACTGTTGACGATATAGTTGTTGCGTATTTGGAAATGTTTTTTCATGCATTTGTTGTTGAATTTTTCAAACATTATAGTTGATGCTGTCTTAAATGATGTCATCAGTGTTGATGTTTCAGTTTTAAAGAATATTTGGTTTGAATTGTCATAGTTGATGTTATTGGTGACATATTTCGTTAAATATTTACACGGCCATTTTCAAT